ATCAGGAAACACGGTGTTAGCGTTCACTGTTATGCTGATGATACTTAGCTCTATATTTCTTCACGGCCCGATGAAACATACCGATTTGCAAAACTACTGGAATGCATAGTTGATATAAAAAACTGGATGACTAGTAATTTCCTACTGCTAAATTCAGATTTGTTTTAAATTATTTTTAAAAGTTTTAATTATTGAACTAAAAATATCTGCATATAATTACCTAGAACACTGTCTAACACTTGATGGCTGGTCTGTTAATTCTTCGTCATCAGTTAGGAACCTAGGTGTGCTATTTGATAGCAATCTTTCCTTTGGAAACCATGTTTCTAGCATTTGTAAAACTGCATTTTTCTTTCTTAAAAATATATCTAAATTACGACCTATGCTCTCAATGTCAAATGCAGAAATGTTAATTCATGCGTTTATGACCTCAAGGTTAGATTATTGTAATGCTTTATTGTGTGGTTGTTCCGCACAAACTCCAGATAAACTCCAAACTCCAAATAAACAAACTCCAGCTGATCCAAAATGCAGTAGCTAGAGTTCTTACTAGAACCAGGAAGTACGACCATATTAACCCGGTTCTGTCAACTCTGCACTGGCTCCCTATTGAACATTGTATACATTTTAAAATCTTGCTAATTACTTATAAAGCTCTGAATGGTTTTGCTCCTCAATACTTGAGCGAGCTCATATCGCATTATTGTCCTTCATGTCCGCTGCAATCTCAAAACTTTGGCCATTTGATAATACCTAGAAAATCAAAATCAACTGTGGGCGGCAGATCCTTTTCCTATTTAGCGCCCAAACTCTGGAACAATCCACCTAGCGTTGTTCGGGAGACAGACACACTCTGTCAGTTTAAATCTAGATTAAAGACCCATCTCTTTAACCTGGCTGACACATAACACACTAATACGCATTCTTATTCCGAGGTCACCCCTAGCCATACAGATCCAGTCTGTATACAGATCAGATGGTGGATCAGCACCTAGAGATGACCTCTACAGCCCTGAATGTCAGTGGAGACCATGTCAGCTAGATGCTCCCCAGAGACAGATCCCTTGCAAAGACCTCATCACCTTGACGACCATTGGCAAAAGACCACGGGAACCAGACAAGTCCTCTGCACAATCTGACCTGTGTTAGAGCCTGGAATTAAACCACGCCATGCTGGTTTC